ACAGACAGACAGACAGACAGACAGACAGACAGACAGACAGACAGACATACATACATACATTACATACTGATCAAAGGGTTTACATAGCATAACATAACATGCATAGCCTAACATAACATTACATAACATAACATACATATTCTGTTACTATGACCTCTGTATAGCTTGATTTGGAAATGTACTGTTTGTGTACAAATCATTCCTCTACTCTACTCACACACGAATCTGCCATGAGTATCCAGCCACGAGTCTCCTCCACCAATCTCCTGCTGGGCTCTTCGCTTGTGAAGCATCAAAATCCACAATATATACATATATACAGTATACATACAGTATCAAAATCTTGCGTCAGAGTGAGACAGAGAGAGGAAGAGAGAGAGAGAGAGAGGGTTCTGTTTGGGAAGCACCCCTGTTGCCAAAGCCCATCCTGGAGGAATACATGTTGGTGAGGACGTACGTAGCTCATGAAGATTCCATTCTTGGCAACATAAACTGTTTTGTTTCAGTTTCGAGATAGTTACCACGCCAATGGCAAGAATTCCCGGACTTGCCCATGGTACCTGCGACCTGCTTGATTTCTCTTAGTCACACAGAGTGGGTGGGTGGGTGGGTGGGTGGGTGCGTGGGTGGGTGGGTGGGTGGGTGGGTGGGTGGGTGGACTCCAGAGACCATTAGCCCGTTAGATCCTGTTGGCAAGCTGCCAACACTTTTATCGGTCCAGTGGTTGTATGCAACTACGGTTGGGACACGAGAGTGCCCCTGTGCCACGTCAATTCACTTGACTACGCAGAGAGAGGCTCACCCATCAGCAGGGAACAAAGAAGGGTGCAGTGCGGTGTCGTTCGGAACGTACGTGCAACCATGCCAAGCGGGTCATAAGAAATGAAGAATACCTTCAGCAAAGTATCTCAAATCTCTCCGGTTCTCTTTGCTTTTCGGCAAGCATCTGGTGCAAAGAATGGGCTCGAGCCCATTTGGGCATCCAGCTGAAACTTCAAAGGATTTAAAGCGCCGATCGATGCTCTGTTGCAAATTGTCCCAGGACGCAGTCCTGTGGCAAGTTGCCAACCCCAACTGGTCGAAGCAGTCTTCAAAAGTTATCAAAAGGTCAATGTGTCCAATGTTGCATCATTTCTATCCAGGGTTTATCCATGTCGATCTGGCTAGAGAAATCGACCGCAATGCAATACTGATTGGATTGGAATAGCCAAGCTAGGCGTGTCCCTTGTGGATCTTTGAGCCCGGCAGGCCAAGCTTGATCACGCAAATCAAGAATGATGTAACAACTGAGAGTGCAAATAAGCGGGCGGCACTTTGGCATCTGTTACTATCTTTCAGTACCGGTTTGCGTGACAGAATTTGCTGGAGCTTCTCAGCCTGCCAGACAGTATTTACACTCGGTAACAACTGTGTTAAGCAAATGACAAGTTCGCATCTCTCCCATTTCTTATGTATGAGATAAAAACCGTGAAGGCGCAGCACTACACTCTGTACATAGTCGCTGTAGTCATCAGAGTAGTCCTGAAGCAACAAGAAATTTGTCTAGTGTCGTCTGGTTTGAAACGTCCAGAGTCTGAGCAATCCTTCGTATGGGAGCGGAGTCAAGACTCGCCATCCTGTCCTTGAGTGCCACAGAGTTGAGAGTCACAGAGTTGAGAGTCGGCCGTTTGGTCCAGAAAATGACAAATGCGAACTCAAAAAACTCAACACTCACTGGAGATGACTCGAGAACTGAACTTAAAGGCGCACAGGACGACAACGATGACAAGGATCAATGATGACGCCACAAGACGAAGCTTTCGGAAGCCGCACTTTCCTTGCTCCTCCCCTCTGTGCTACCTTCCTGGTGCCTTGGCAACATGCAAAGTCGGTGAATTTTGGAGATCGAGCCGGCTGCACACGGATTCAGTCATTTAACCCGTCCATGCCGTGTCCCCATGTATGTCCCTTAGCAGTCAATTAGCGCTCAATTGTGCACCGTCACATCCGCTACTGTAATCTGTGCTTGTTCTTCTGCCAAGTGTCTTAGCTGCGAGGCCACGCAACACACCCTTCGCATCTGGTGGTCCAGAGTCCTCCTGGCACAAAAGTTCAAAAATGTTGCTCACGAAACAAATCTTGAAGGCAGTGCAAGATTCATGCTGCATTGTCTTCAACTGCGTATGGCTTGGGGAGCTGTCATGTACTCGCTGCAAGCTAGCCTTTAGCCAGTTGCCAGCCTCATCTTTCTTCTCAATGATACGATCTCGCCAGGGTCGAGCAACCTCCTGCGCAACGAGAAACTGGCAACGACTCCAATTCAAGACCTCTGAGCGGAAAAAACATGGAGGTACAAGCAACAAGTGTTGGAGAGCTGCGTTCTGACACTCTATGCAACACCTGTGTACACCCCTACTTCCATTTCACAACCTTCTTCTGTAAGCTGTTTTACCATCTTTTACCTGGGTGGCCAAACAATGAGGTTGTACATGGATCCCGTCCTGACCAATGAATCCTGCAATTTGGAAGAGCACCATTCCGGCCAGGAAGAGGATAAAGACTCTGGTTAGACGACCTGATGCCATGCTGCAAGCTGGCCTCAGCTACCAAATTCCGCAAGCATTCAATACTCCTTTGCAAAAGGACTTCTACCAGTGGATTGCAGCCTGGTGTGGGTATTCATTTTGAATCATTTTGATGTATGCACATTTTGAGGCCGACATGAAACCATGGTTCCCTGATGTTCCCTGAGAAGGGGGCGGAGCTTTGCAGAAACTGGTTGCGTGCACTTCAAGTCAGCTCGAGCCACAACGTTTCTGGATAAAAATGATCCGCAAGGGTGCCTTGATTTTGCAAGTCACACTTTGACAAAGCGTTGTTGTCCAATGTTTTGCAAGTGTTTGCCTCGATCAACAGCAATCAGTTTCATCCAATGGCACGATTTCACTGCCACTTCTGCTATTGTCCTCCTTCACTTGCTGGGGAACTGCCGTGTCGAAGGTTGAAATCATGGCCCCATCCTTCGAACAGTGTCACTAGAGGGAAAACAGAGAGAAAGAGACAGAGGGGAACAAGGGTCTCTGAGAAAGTGAAATTTTGGATTACGCTGGACTTTTGCCAAATTTCTTCATAAATGCAAAAGTGGTACATGTTGCTCAGGGCTGTAGAAGCCTGTCTTACAGCATGCTCGCTTGGGGGCTGCCGTAACATCTTACCGCATCTGTGTATCACCACCAGCTGGAGAGCTAACAACCAAACATTGATATTTTCCGTAAACAAGGCATAGGAAGGCGTCCTGCTTGTGAAACACTCTTGGACAGTGACAACCGATAAATGCAAGATCAACGACGTAGTCTATCCACTGCGCACACACTCGCATGCGTGCATTCATGACTTTATATACATATATGTTTGTGTATACACAGACTCGCAGTCACAGTTTCGTTGTACGCTAGGTTTCTTTTTCACCAGGGCGATGCAGCCCGTGCCCTCCGCAAAAATAGTTTGCAAGCGCTGCTGCCCAGCATCCAGGGTCGCTGACTTACCCTGAGGCAACTTGTGGCCCAGAGGGGGGTGGCGAAAGCTAGGCAAAGAAACAACGCTAGGGCTCTTTAGGCAGCAAAAGCCTGGCCGGGAATCGCAACATGCCATGGCCAAGGGAAAAGGAGAGTGCCAACAGCGCCCCCCCAATACGACCCCAACACAGCCAACACATGGCAACACACAACCACCCCAGCAACCGCAGCAGCAGCAGCAGCAACAGCCACAACAACAATAACTGTAACCAGCAGCGGCAGCGGCAGCAAGCAGAAGCTACCAAGCAGCAGCAGCAGCAGCAGCAGGAGTAGCTAGCAAGCAGCAGCACCAGCTACCAAGCAGCAGCAGCAGCAGCTACCAAGCAGCAGCAGCAACAGCTACCAAGCAACAGCAGCAGCAGCTACCAAGCAACAGCAGCAGCAGCTACCAAGCAACAGCAGCAGCAGCTACCAAGCAGCAGCAGCAGCATCAACAGCAGCTACCATGCAGCAGCAGCAGCAGCAGCAGCAGGAGCAGCTACCAAGCAGCAGCAGCAGCAGCAGCAGCAGCTACCAAGCAGCAGCTACTAAGCAGCAGAGCAGCAGGGAAAGAGTGAGCTTTCCTTAGAGTCTTTCGTGCCCCAACATTTGGTCTCGAACAATAGCACATATAGGCACTGCCTGAGGAAATTGTAGAAGGGCGACGTGGAAAGACAGATATATCTGATATATCTGTTTTTTGCACGAATAGATGCTAACGATGCAGCCAGCAGCGGTGTGCACGATTGACATCTAGGGGTTGCGCGCGAACATGTGTCAGCGACCGGATACTCCGTCGCAACGCTCGTGCATGCTCCCTGTCGCTCGAACATGGAACGCGGACTACCATGAGTGAAGCAAACAGCCCGTTCAAACATCTTACTGGGTTCTGTCGTTCATGTGTGCAGTAAGTATCATCTTTTGATCTGCATGGATAGCGGATAGCGCATTCTGATTTGTAGTCTTGGGGGTTGTGGGGTGGGTACATGCCTGTACAAGCTTGTTCAGGATATAATGAAATTAGCATTGCTTCACGACTCAGAGGGAATGCAACTACTCTCGATTCTATCGAATAGGCTTTCTTCAGCACCAACAGCAGCCAACAACCCCAAACAGCAACAGCAGCAAAACGGAGCCAGCAGCACCAAGCACGCAAGCAGCAAGCAGCAGCAACCAGCAGAGCCAGGCGCAGATGAGATGCCAGCAGCAGCAGCAGCAGCAGCAGCGACCAAGCAGCAGCAGCAGCAGGTACTGAGGAGGAGAAGGGTGGAGTTGAACCCCGTGAGGGGGGGAGGGGGGGGATATAGTCCTGATATATCAGGTAACAGCACTCAGGTCCTGGCCTCCCACCCTCCTTGCTAAAGCAAGACAGACTCCAGCTAGCTACAGCTAGCTTTCGTGACATCCCCACTCTGCTCTGCATCATTTACTGATCCTTCTCATGGTCAAACTCCACTGGTGAATCATTGCCTCTTTCGGTCTGTTCAGCCTCTCGGGGCCTGCAATAACGCCGGCCAAAACACTGAACTTCTAGCCCAAGTTGGAAAATTCGGGTGTAGCCACCCAATTAGTTTGGTCCACCTTTCTTGGTGCCCATTTTTCGCAACGCTAGCCGCCTTTGTTGCGCTTCAACCCCTTTAGCTCCGTCAACCCCTCTTCCTATTGTCCTATTGCAAGTTTTCTTACTCCTTCCCAATCTCTACCCCGAATAATCTTTTTCCCCTGCTGGCTCACGGTTGGTGGCACAGTTGGTGGATATGCGCGCCGCAATTCTTCTGGCTCCATAAAATGTTTTGTCTTCCTTGAAAATTATCAGTCAATTGCGTGGCTCCAGCCTTTGCGAAATGCTTAAGAAATACCCATTATCCGGCAAGAGACCCCAAACAGTGTGTTTGAGGTCTAGAGGTGTAGCAGCAGAAAGTGTAGAGATCTAGACTGATGGTGGTGATGGTTGCGATTGGTGGTGATGGTGGTGGAAAGGTCCACAAAAATATACTGCGCCTGCGCGAAATCTGTACTTAAAGGTCCACAAAGTATTGCACCTGCCACAAGCAGTTGCACTTCAGGGTCCACAAAATAATGCACCTGCCACGAAATCTGCGCTTCAAGGTCCACAGCATATATATTGCACCTGCCACGAAATGCGCACTTCAAGGTCCACACTGCGCCTGCCACGAAATTTGCACTTCAAGGTCCACAGAGTACAGCTACCACGAAATTTGCACCTCAAGGTCCACGAAGTACTGCGCCTGCCACGAAATCTACACTTCAAGGTCCACAAAGTACTGCGCCTGCCGCTAGATTTGCATTTAGGCCCACAAAGTACTGCGCTTCAAGGTCCACAAAGTACAGCGCGTGCCACGAAATTTGCACTTCAAGGTCCACAACTTACTGCGCCTGCCATAACATCTGCACCTCAAGGTCCACAAAAAGCTGCGCCTGCCACGAAATTTGCATTTCAATGTCCGCAAAGTACTGCGCCTGCAACGAAATCTGCGCTTCAAGGCGTACTGCGCACTGCACCTGCCACGATTTCACATGTCCAAAAGTCACGATTCACTGCCAGAGCATGGCGAAGACCCCCACTAAGTCCAAAGTACTGCGCCTGCCGCAAAATCTGCACATCGACATCAAACTGCTCTGCACCTGTCACGAAAAGTCGACTTTAGACAAACAAGCCACGAGGCGTCCCTTGCGCCTGCCGCGAAAAGTGGTCGCCAAGTCCAAAAATGCGCACAGCGCCCCAACGAGAGCGCACCTCCGTCAAGCGCCCCGTGGCCAGCGTTTCGGCGACCCTACGGAAAGAATTTGCATTTGGAGATCTCAGAACGAGCCTGCGCAGCCAAAACGCACGCGCTCAGAGCGTACCCTGATCGAACCCGGGCCCTTTACACCTACTGTAAGAACCCCTCAGGACACACTGTGTGGGAATTCGGACACCGCCCGTAATCTTATCGTTCAAGATCACCCCAAATCATTCTTCGTGGGTGGTGCAAAAATATTGGCCGCCCAATACACGCCCCACACCAAAAGATTAGGAAGAAATCAGTGTTTGGGGCCTCTCTTGGGGTGAAGAGGATGAAGAGATTTAGTCCTGCAGGTCCCTTCTCATGAAGAGATTCAGTCTTTGGGCTTCTGATATTTTTCTGATGAGACGACCACTTCGCGTGGCCAATTGCCAAGCATGACACCCCGCCACAGCTACAGCAGAGAAAAGAACGATACACTATACATATGTACCGTGCGTCAACCACGATGTACAAGTATATACAAGTATAATATCATTGCGCGCAGTATCATGCAATATCAGACATAGGGAAACGCAAGTAGCGTTGAGCCCCAAAAATAACGCGGAAGGCATGTTGGCTTGCGCCGTTGAAGGACGACGACAACCAGCCCCCATTCGTACACGATTTGTCTTCCCTCGCCTTCTTGCAAACCACAGACCATCTAAGTTGCTGCGGCAATTTGCCGGGCATGTGGTCACGCACCTTGCGCGCAACCCTTGAGATGTATGCTGCTGATATGATGATCGAAGTGTGATTCACTGAATTCAGTCCCACCAGAATGGTCAAACCTTGCACGTAACCGCAATGTTCGTGCGGAAGCCCAGGTATGCTTGCCTAAAATGCAAGCGGGCAAAATGAATGGCAAGCAAGGACATGGACATTCTTGCTGCGCATGAACAGACTCCACAAAGGCGCGCGCAACTTGGCCATACTCTTTCGCCTCAAAACGATTTCGTATTTCGGGCGCCTTCCAAAAGCGCACAAGTGACACTTCAAGCGATGGCTAGGAGACCTTGCACAAGTACATCCAGGCGAGCAGCACCAGAGCGACCGGGCGACTCTTCCCGCAAAGCCTCGGCGTGGAGCAACCTATGGAATTTCAAAATGAAAGCAGCAAACTTCAGGGTAAAGGGTCCTGCCACTAAGAACATACACACACTCAAGATATCAAGCGTTTGGTCTGAATGCCAGTTGCCTAAGTAATTCAAAAGGCCTAAGTCACAGGGATGGAGTGGCGCGGCGTCTAACCGTCAAAAGCACCGTCAAAGCACAAGCAAATTCAAGAGAACCAGAAGTTCCAGAGCTCCGAAGTTTCAAAGCCTTGACCAAAGCGCAAGTCTGCCGACCCGCGTCATCCTGCAACAGCCTGAGAACCTTTACAAGTGCAAGGTGGTTACAACACTCACAAACATGGCAGGTACACAAATTGCTGTCTCCATCCGCTTTCCCGCTAGCGATTTAGCTTCGTTGGACAAAGTTCATCGCTGGAAGCCTTGCCCACCTGCTCTCTTGAAAACTACAGCCAAAAGGCCTCCGATAATTCCAAAGCCTACACACACTGAAACCCAGAGCTCAAATGAATGAGCATTAAGTTCAGGAACTGGCTCACGAACACATTAGCGCTTTACAATACTCACTAGCACTTTTCCAAAGCTTAAAGACGAATGCCGGTACACCGCAGTGGACAGCTTGGGCTTTACCTAGGTTGTACACGGACGAATGTATTAGCGCTGGATTGCCGTAGCTCTTTACGAGCAAAACAACGCAGTGGACAGCTGTTTTGGTACTTAGGTTCTAGAAGTTCGCTGACAAATGCAATAACACGTTATTGCAGTAGAGGTTGCTCACAAATGCGAAACACTTCAAAGAGGAAACGACGCAGTAGACAGCTTTTGCATTACTTAGGTTCTATAAAGGTTGCTCACAGATGCGTTAGCCCTTTATTGCTGGAGGAAACAACGCAGTAGACAGCATTGGCATTACTGATAGTTTCAAAAGGTTGCTTTTACTCTGCATAGTATGAGCGCTTGTTTTACCATTGCTCGGTGGGGGTAGAGGGTCGGATAAACGAGCCTCAAAAGCGACCTAACAAGCCTGAGGAACAAAACAACGCAAAAACAACGAGCGTCGTAAAACAAATTGCGGCGCCCTCTGGCGAAAACCCTAGCAACGAACGGAGATCGAGGCATGCAGCGATTTACTCAAGTTGAAGAACGCATAACGAAAAACCCGTCAGTTAGCAATCACGTGAACTCGGCAATATCTGTTCAGCTGTTCCCGGGAAAGCGCAAGAGTTCAGGAAATGGCTCACGGCGCGCGTGAATCGATCAGCAAGTGTCAGTGGAGAGTTCGGCGCCCCAATCGGGGATCAGTGGGAAGATGCAGCTGGTCACACTTAGACCCATAGCTCAAATGAATGAGCGTTAGGTTCAGGAAGTGGCTCACGAACACATTAGCGCTTTACAATACTCACTAGCACTTTACAAAGTTTAAAGGTAATGCAGGCACACAAGAAGCCTTCCCTTCTTGCTTCACCAGTTGTGAGTCCGTCTTCGTTGGTCCAGGGACAACTCACAACTGCCTGGACCCCGTGCTGGTGAAAACTCTTAGAAACAGAGGTGGGCACTCACACCTACACCTCAATGTGGGCACACGCGCACGCAAAAGAAGGGAAGGACATGAAAAAGCGCGCTATATATATATGTATATACTTATATGTGACAGGCATTGGCAAGAAAACCAAATCACGATTTCAGTAGCTGCGTTTTCAGTACGCTTTGCATGTTTTCTATATATTTGGGGTTGCGTTTTCCCCAGCTGCGTTTCCTGCGTGTCCTGCGCGTTTCCTTTGGTAGGTGTAAAGAGACATGTGTCACTTTTCTGTGCCTGCAAAATTAACTACTCCTCGTCTGGCATGTTGGAAAAAGAGAAACCAAGAATACTGGGGTTCGCTTTGGAGCTGAATAACCAAAACGGTGTCAATTGCCTCCTGCTAATATATGGGAGAGAGAAAGAGAACTTTTTTAGCCGGATTGCTTGCTTAGAGCTTCAGACAAAGAAGAATGGTGCCCAATGCCTCAGATAGACCGGGAACAACTGTAACAACCAGATTGCTTTTTCAGAGCTACAGAAAAAGCAATATGGTGCCCGTTGCTATGTGAAATCGAAGCAAAGCAACCAGCGTGAGCGGATTATGATTAAAGTGCCTGAATCATCCTGCAACAGCCTGAGAACCTTTACGAGTGGAAGGTGCTTACAACACTCACACACACACACATAGCAGGTACACAAATGAAATTCCCTCCAGCGATTTAGCATCGTTGGACAAGGTTCATCGCCGGAGGCCTGGCCCCCGTGTTTTTAAAAACTAAAGCTGAAGGGCTCCCTATAATGATTCTAAGGGTTACACTGTGTTGCGCGCGCGCACACACACACACACACCTACGCCTTGCGGGTAGTCCATCTGCGCCGCAACACCGCTAGTATAGTGTCGAGTATGCGAGGTCGGGTGACAGTGTCTATAGTTTCTGTCCCGGAAAGCATTGCAGTGGGCCTTGAATTCTGCTGCAAAGTTCTCGCCAAAAGTCTCTCCAACCTGTCAGTGCACAAATAGCATCATTTAAGGGAAGAGGGTTGATTTCTGATTGATGTTCAATTGTGGGGCACATGCCAATGCCTGAATGACATCCCCGATTGAAAAGACCAGGAGATCCAACGTCTGGAGATGGGGCTCAGCCTTGGGAAGTGGGGAAGCCCAAACGATTTCCTTCACACTGCAAGCAGTGGCCGCTAGCAGTGGGAACAAAATCAACAATGTGAGGGGGTCCTCCAGGAAGCTCGCCCTCCCTCAAGCCAGCGGAGCTTCCATGAATTGCCTTTACTACTCACTACTTCCCCATGCTCGGCCGCCTAGCGGCCTACCCACCCAAAAAACAAACAAAAGAAAGGTTGCAAAGCTTCGATGTTTTGGTCTTCGAGTCTGCTCAAAGCTGGCTCATTGAGTCCCCGACCATATTCCAAAGATCCCTCCATGGTCCCAAAGCTGGGCGGTGGTTCAAATCCTTAGGGTTCATCCGTTGTGAAATAGTCTGCTAGACTATACCGTGTGTATTTTTCTGTTTGCTACATGTCGTGTTGTCTTGATAATGCTTCTGTAGACCCTCAGACGCGCATTTCTCTCCTGCTGTTCTTTCCCGTTCCCTTTTCTGTCTTGCTTTCTTGCTTTTTTCCTTCCTTCTTTCCTTCTTTCCTTCTTTCCTTCTTTCCTTCCTTCCTTCCTTCCTTCTTTCCTTCTTTCCTTCTTTCCTTCTTTCCTTCTTTCCTTCCTTCCTTCCTTACTTCTTTATTCCTTTCTGTCTCTCTCTCTCTCTCTCCCTCTCTCTCTCTCTCTCTCTGTGTCTCTCTCTCTCTCTCTCTCTGTCTCTCTTTCCTTCTTCCTTTTCTTTCAAGACCATTCCCTCGAATCAGTGGCATTCACTTTGCCGATCCCTTGATCATGAGGAAAATTCAGCTCTGTAAGCTAGGCTTGCCACCATGGTTACCACCAGCGATTTGCCCGATTTGCCCTCCTGAATTCCCAATTGTGTGGCACAATCCCCGACAATGGGCAAAGAAGGCAAGTAGGTGCAGCCTTCATCAAAACGTTTGTTGTGGAAAAAACTCAACAAAACCACAGTCAGCCCTTATTGACAACCAATGAGCTACAGTAGGAACCAAACGAATAGTGAGAGCCTGATCCTGTGTCCTACCTAGAAGCTTACCTCCTCATTTAAGTAGGCGCATATTTACAGTAATTAAGGAGGCCGAAGAAGAAACACACACACACACACCCCATGAGTCCCCATGAGCGCTCTCGTGAAACCTTGGACTCTGGACATGTGTGCTTTGCGAACAAGAGAGTTTTATGCTTTGTATATGGACCCGTGTTCCTTATGTGTCACTGATGAACATTGGGTGATAAGTTACAAAAGGCGAATGAACTGTCAAATCTGTCAAATCTAAGCACATCTACATAGATGCAAATATGATCAAACAATGACTCTCTTTGCTGCTTGTCAGTTGCCTCTTTCGTCTTTTTTTGAATGCATCCACGAAAGCAAGAACATCAAGAGGCCATGAATCACCAGTACGCGTATGCTTCAGCTGCTGGGAATGCAAAGCTGAATACGACCCCCCAAGCGGACTGAAGTCAGTATTCAATAATTACTCCACTGTCTGAACAGCAAGCACATGGATCCCAAAGTTAGTCGGCAAAGGGATTAGCTAGTTTTGCAGCTGAACAACAAAACGCAACAACACAGCTACATGAACTGCGAAGTGTGAAGTGTCGCAGGACACTTGTTTAAGGCTTGTGTCATGAGACTGATTTAATTATTTGTCTAAAGCCTTTTGAAGACCGCATCAAAAAGTACTTGCAAATGAGTACGTTTCCTTAACTTCAAGGACTGGGAGAAAGTGCCAACCCGCAGCCCTCAAGATGTCGAAGACAAAATATATATATACTGCAACCGCTGCAACCTAGTCACCCAGTCTCATTCTTGAGTGCTCAGGCCAACATGCATCAGAAACAAAATAAGGGAAATTCATGCGCGATCTGCTCTCCTCCTTTACCAACATTGCAGCTTCAAGAGCATGATTCCAAGCCTTGAGACGTACGGCTTGAGACGGCTGCAGTTGCCATTGTGCGCGATTCTTCAACTTCGGCCAAAACAAGCCATATTGCTGTTGCCTGAGGACCTTGCTGCTCGAGTATTCACTGAAATCAGCGGAGTAATTCCGGTGACATGCAGAACTTGGGGAGCGCCAGTTGACCTCTGTCCAACATGTCTCTCTGGGAGGTCACAAGTAGATTCCAAGTATGTGCAGAACAGGTAGGATTCTCTCCAATCTCAGCTAGACCGCAGTCCCTTTGGGCAAATTGGAAAATGTGTGAATTTGTGAAGAGCAATGGAAAATGAGTTTGCCTTTAAGCCAGTATTCCATTTCAACCATTGTATATCTATCTGCTTGATCTGCCCCTGACGTGGTTCGAATACCGCCCTGAAGCCTCAAAGCTGAGGAGCCGACGCCCCTTCCTTGAGCAGCAATTGCCAGAAATCCCGGCTGAACCAATCTAAGAGCCGGAAAAAGCTCTTTGAGCTGTTTGTAGTCGTCTCTGTTGTCTTTGGATCGATGCTTCGAGGTCGGAGCTCGGGTTCATCAGACCAAAAATAGAGCGGTGCCGTTGAAACCTGGGCGGTCTAGGCACTCGCTGGCCCACTCTGGGCGGCCCAATAGTTTGGCAAAGTTTCAGGTTTAGAGGGAAGTATGTGTATTTTCCTTACATATTATATATGTATATATGTTTATATAACTATTCTTTAAGCCCAAAGGGGTAGGCTGTGAGAAGGCTTGACTAAGCTAACAGGTATGGAGTAGCTACTAAGCTTAAGCAGCTACTACCTAGGAGGCAACGGGCTCAGGCTTTTTCAAAGAAGCTCCCCCTAGGCATCTGGGCTCAAGACCCTTTGCCTGACGCCCCACCGCGAGGGCCGTGGCTTGGCTGCTGGCCTACTTGGCCAGGGTCTTGCGTCCACAGACCGCTGGTCACCATCAGCGGGATCGCCATGGAAACTAAGGCCATGATGATAGACACCAGGACAACAGCAGCAAGTTGCCTCATCGACTGGGCTGTGGTGGGCTTGCCATCGACTCTCGCCTCCTCGGTAAGGGCCAAACTGGTGGCTATAGCTAATGCTGGAGTGCCTCAAGCGAATGACATGGAATGGGTTCTTTTTGGCGAAGTTGTGGGTTCCAGTGCTGGACCTCCCCTCACTGTCCATCTACGACGACTTCCGCTGCTGGTGAATGATCCTGAGAGCCAGAAAGGAAACTGGGACACTTGGGATCTTGTTTGCCCGATTTCCCATGACCGTGTTGACTTTTCCATAGGCATGCAGATTGGCATTTTGACCAAGCCTTTCGATCGTCAAGCTTTGGGGAAGATTGTTGCTAGTGAAGGTGTTCCGGTTTGGAACGTGCCCTCCTTTCATCAGGAGTTTCCATGGAATGTCTCCCACCTTTTCTCAGGTGCTTATGAGGGATGGCTCCGTGCCATGTGGTGGTTGCAGCAGGCCAACCTTGGCCATTCGTTCGCTACCCACACGTCAGTAGACTGGTGTCCTCAAGTGATGAAGTCATGGAGCTACAACCATGGCCACCAGCACCTTTGCGCTCCGATTGCAGCCTCCTTTGATTCGAAGGAGGTTTTCACTGGGATCTTGGCTGATATCGGTGAGCCCTCAATACTCCGGGCCACGTCAAACAAGACCAACCTGTTGATGACTCTTTCTCCACCTTGTCCCAGCTGGAGCAAAGGAGGGAAAAATTCTGGACTTGCTACTGACGAGGGATTCTGTTTCCTTGATGCTGTTGAACATGTGAGCCGGGCTCGACCTATTCTTGCACTGTTTGAATGTTCAGATGGCCTGGAAGTTCATCCTCATTGGAGAGTTCTTTCATCCGCATTACAGATGGCTGGCTATAAGAAGGCATGGTCGCAAGATGTCGCCATTCACCAGCTCACTGGCAATTTCCGTACACGGTGGCTGGCTATCTGGGTCAGGAAAGACATCCAGGCATCCAAATCCTCTGAGCGGTTCCTGTGCATGATCAACCGGCGACTGAACTGGAATGATCCGAAGCATATGCATGACCTTCCTGCTGCATTGGGTGAGGAGCTCATCTTGCACTCATCCCAGGAGTGCGTTTATGGTGATCGTGCTCTGCTGCCTCCAGCAAAGAGGGCTCAAGTAGACAGCGATGCTTCCTTACAGCAGGTCCTTGAGCAGAGGCTCATCCAGAAAGGTGACTATTTGCCCACCCTGTGTGCGTCCTACACTGCGCAACACCTCCTTCAAAGGGAGCATTTGGAGGCCAAGGGCATTTTTGCAACGTTGGTTCAGCGGGTAGATCGGTTTTCCTTTGTGGAACCCTTTGTGTTTGTCTCCCTCTTTGGGACCACTGACTCGATTGCATTGCCAAAGGAACTCCGAACCGCCTTCCATCAGCTCGGGAATGCCATCTCTCAAATCCATGCTTTGATTGGTTTGGATTGGAAAGCATTGGAGCCGAACATGCACAGAAGCTCAAGATTGCGCAACAATGTTGGGAGGAGCGGCTCACCTCTGTGAATGCTATCGTTCGACAGTGTGATGATATGTATGTGCTACAGCCCTTGGCTGACTTCGTTGCCAAAGCCGGACCTAGCATTGCAACGTGGCAACCATGGCTAGCAGGACACAAGCTTATTCGGTTTGGTGATGATGCTTCGCTTATTTCACTGAATGTTGATGCTGCTTTGCCTGCAGTTGCCCAACTGCTATTGAGTCTTGATCTTGGTGACCATCTAGCCCCTCGGGTTCAGCTATGTCAGAATGGATGTACTTTCCCAGTTGATGTCAAATGGCATGATCTTCCCGAAGGCGAGCTTGTTGTGAAAATTGGGACGTTGCCTTTGGGAACTTTAAAGGTTGTCGCTGCCAGCACTCACTGTGATGAAGAAGATCCAATTGTCTCCCCGACGCAGCCATGGAATGGGGACGACGTTGACCCGGCATTTGATCATCTGCAGGATGCCCACCGAGCGGGCTTCTTTCATGTTGCTGAACATCTATGTCAAGATGACCTTCCACGCCGTGCAGGTAAAGTTCTCCTTCTCTACCAAGATGGCCTGTTTGATTGGGTCGCCAGTGCGAACTTGGATCGACTTGGGAGCATTCCGGCTTTTCACTACCAAGGCAATCGCACACACTTCTTCAAGGTCAATCATGAAGCGCGCCAACATCTTCTGGGTGTTCCAGCAGTTATGGCCATACAGGGGAGCTACGATCCAACTGGGCCTGACAAGTGGGTTCTGCTTGCCGGAGGTCAAGACCTTCGATGGTGCAAAATCTGTCGGGTACCACGAGTGGCTACACCACGACAATGTGACGAATTGTTACAGCAACAGTGCCATGTCTCCATGAGAAATCTGATTGAGTGTCGTGGTGATCAGCCTATGATGCTTGTCAATGGAGATGTCCTTTGGAGTGACACAAGGGTCCAGAATGTGATGTCCATTGCTTTTGGAGGTATGGATCGACTCTCCGAGAACCCAAGCTGTAATGCCCACAATGATGAGGTTGCTGCCAGATTGCTCCAGTTCAATATGGAACCCGGTGCGATTGGGTTGGATGAGATGATCTTCCACTTTGATATCCTGCAGATTTTGATGCCAACCATTTGCTGGTGCCCTCCCGGTGTGTGGGCAAATCATGAAGCACAATTTCGGTTGCCTACAGAGCCTCAAGATCTCCAAAAGATGCTATCAGCATTTTGTGGTTCCGATTCTCGCGCTGTTTGATTGGATCTTTGTGGAGGTGAGATTCTTCGAAGGACAATGGAGAGTGCTTTATCATTCCCCTGAGCAGCTGACCATTCGGCAGACCAATGCCGTCCTAGAGCTCATCAACATCATGGGTGTACCAGTAGCACCGAATGCTTACAGGTGGATTCGAACTCCTGAAGACAATGATTTAGCCCCATGGCACACCCTGAAAACCTTCTATGCCAGGGCGGGGGCACCGCTCCTTCCTGAATCACACAGAAGCTCCCAACGGCTACAGAGGTCACAGTATGCCGCTCATATCATGCAAGTGATTGACCAAGCTGACCTTGATCGGATGGTACAATTTGCCAGGGCACGCCGAGGTGCTTTCCTCATTGCCATCACTGAGTCCCCCAGCCGAGCACGTGACCTTCTCTTGAGAGCTACTGGGAGACCGCTGCCAGTGTATGACATTCGTGAGATCTTCTTCCTTGCTGATGATTGGTTGGACATGCGCCTCAATATATATATATCGAACTCACCCAGGGTGGGCTACCAGTGATGAGATTGAGTTCATCATGTCCTTCTTCCTTCCTGACTCTTTTTGTCCGCCAGTTCTGCACCATGATCTTTCCCTGATCGCTGCGGGGGTCAAGATCCCTTGCGATGAAGTCCAAAGATTGGTTGCTCTCAGGGAAGGGCATTGGGTTGGCATTGAGGTTGTCTGCAATGCTACTGAGCACACGCGCCGTGTTGTTTTCTTACAGGTTCCACCTCGTGACCAGCAGTTCTGGCATGATTTTGCTGTGGATTACATTATCCCTTTTGGGTTCAGGCCGGTCATCATCGTTGACACCAACCGAACTCGGCCAGGCATGTGTGGATGGGAGCTTCTCCACCGCTGGATTGTTGCTGACATTCGAATTCCGGACACTTTTCATGCGCCAAACCCCAAGAGACTCATCATTGACACCATTATTGAAGAAGCAAATGTGGCTTGGCGCCTTGCAGGTGCACCTCCAATGCTATGCACCTTTGCTGAGCAAGTTCGCCCCCTTTTCCTCATGGTTGGCGGTGTGCACCTTCTCCAACCCTGCTCGGCCGCTTCTTTGGGGGGCATGGAAGGTCAAGTGAGTCCGGATGCTGCCATGCAAGCTGATCCTTGGCAATTTGATGATCCCTGGAAAAACAAAAAGAAGCAAGTCAAGCAATTCAAGTGGGAAGATTTGCAACTACAGTCTGACCATCCCTTCGTTGCCAAAGACAAGACTCCGATCCCGTTTGTGCAGAAGCAACAGCTGTCAACCAATCGAGGTGGTATTGCCTTTACCAAAGGTAATCTACAGCAGGCTCGAGAGATTGCGCCCAAAGAGCCGTGCGCGCTTCTCCTCCCGCTGATTGATCCCACCGATCCTTTGAGCAAGCTGCCAGGCTTATCAGGGCCATATGAAGTGATTGTCTTTGACGCCGCTATGAACCAGCTATTACCTTGACCCTTGCGGCGGTCTGTGAGATTGTCTTGGAGTGTGATGCACGGCTGACAACCAAGGATATCTTTCAGTCCTTCTATGACAATCCATTGGCCAAGTTCAAGGCTCAGCTCAAAGAAGTGTGCTCTGATCCAATTTGGGCCACGCTGCCATATATGGTTATCGGGCTGTCCAAGAGCAATCCAAGGAGAAACATGATCTTGCCGACCTCATCAAAGCTGCCTCGACCATCTCAGGGTATCGTGGCATTGCTGTCACCAAGCGTGGGCTCGCCCCGAGATTTGCCACTGATGCTTTGGCCACTGCAAGAGACCTTCTTCTACCGCAAGACGATCGTATATGTTCGATCAACAAGGCCATGGTCCCCAAGACCAACGTGGACAGTCTTGGATGG